TTTTGCTTTAACTGTTAAAATTCGTAAGATTTTCCTAGAGGACACATGGAATGTGGAGACTTATATCTGTTTGAACACACTCTTAGATAATGCAGCATGTTTGTGCTATTCAAGTAATTTAGCTTCAGATTCTTCTCAAAGTCACACTGTAGAGTGAAGAAATTTTAAATCAACTCGGACTGCAAAGGAAATAAATCATGGGACACTAATTATCAAATATTCCATGAATCAAGGAAATTAGTTAATCAAACCTAATTTTCCCTTAAAGCTCTTTGGTTATACTAGAAAAGAACTAATCTTTTGTGAACATAGATGTCTTCATGCTCCACTTGGTTTCCATTTTCCGCCTGTTTATTTCACCTTTCATGCCTGCCCTCCTCTATTGCCTGAGGCAGAACAACTAGTTTCTTGACCTTTATTGTAATTCTGTTTGAGTTAACAGGCAGACTATGCACAAGACTAGAGAGGTCAGTTTCCTTTTTTTCTGTCGAAGGTGTTCTTAGCTGAATCAAGTGAACACCACCAGTGCTGTGCATATTACAGAGTCAGTTCAGTTTGTTTCACAATGAGCCTCACCCCTTAGATCCTTATGGCAGGTGGCTGTAGCGTAAACCTTTCCAAAGACTTCTGGGTGTTTTTGGATTGGAAGGCCAAAGCAACCACACTGTGGCGAGTTTTGTGTTGAGCCCTTATGGCAGGATGTACAGGCACAATGCTGAGCTTTTTAACATGCAATCCAGGTACATTTCAGCCCTTCCTAACTTTTTGATAAACCTGGTGCATCATTGGGAAAAATCTTATCCACGACCTTGATTAGAGAAAGGAAATTGTATGGAATTTTCTTGCAAGATCACAGAGAGAAAAATTGCTAATGAGCCAAGAGGAATTATACGTGTCTGACAGATCTGCTACAGATTATTCCCAAGGAAAAAGCTTTTAATCTGTATGTGCCTGATGTTAGATATTTGCTTGCTTGATTTATTTTCTCGTAATCATTCCTTCCTCCTAGCTAATTTTTAGAGATATAACTTCTACCTATGATTACTAAAGCAAGATCTGATTAAGTCAGTTCTGTTAATTTTCAATTCTTACATTTTATCTAAAGGGTAACATGCCATATGTCCTAAACAGTTGCCAAGAGATAAATGGGCTATTTAACATCCAGAGTAATTTCAACTGTCACTTAGAATTGAAATGTCAATAGTAAAGTTTTACATAGTTTCTCAAGTGGACAGAACCAATAAAAAATACTTTTAAAAAAGATCTCCTTGAGATATGGAAGTCTTTCTAGAGGAATATTAGTGATAAATGATTGTTGGCTGAGATTTATCTCTTGCAGCTGTAATGTAAACTATTCATGGCAGATGTAAAGGAATTTTTAAAAGACATATCTAGTACTAGTTTTTTGTTATTCTGTCCTGTTCTTGCCATTCCATATATTACGCACTTTTGCCTTTTTTACATATTTTGGGTGAAGAAAGTATAAAAATTAAATTGAAGTGTGGAAAGACAGAATTAAAAAAGAACTTTCTCTGTTGAAAAACATGATTGCAACAAGCAGAATACTTAGTAGTAATTGGAATCATTTGGCAGGCTAAATTGTTTTTGTAAATGAGTGTCACATAAACTAATTTGATTCTGTGTTTTGTTCCAGCATTGTGTAAAGTGTTGAATGTGGATTTTTTTTTTTTTAATTCAGAGTGCATTTCTTGCCTAAAAATGCAGGATCCAGTAAAGCGGGTCAGGACAGTTCCTTTTTGATTTTTCTTGTACTTTTTAGATTAAATGAGGAAAGAGGTTTCTTAGGGGAGAACTTCAAAGAACTTTAGTCTCATCCAGACCTTATAAATTGGCACATTTTAATATTTACTTTTGCAGCATTTGCTCACAGATACGAGTTTGTGCTCGACATATTAATCTTCTCTAAGTATGTTTGACTTTAATAGACTTATGTTCTGCTTCAGTGATTATTCAGAAGACAGATATCTACAAATATGGAGCTTTTTTAACAATAACATGTCAGACTGCTCACACTTGTGCATAACTGAGCTTAATCATAAACTCACTTGACACCAATGGCATTCATGGTGTTATTCCATGACTCTGCTTGCGCAGTTAGTCTCTTTACTCTTTGTGATTTAACTGTCTGACTGTTTGCATAAGTAAAGAAATACCTCCTCCTATCAGAAACTGTCAGGTGGCTGAAACAGATTCAAAATATTGATTATACAGGCTTATAAAAGAAGATATCTCTAAATTTCAGCTCTCCAGAATTACTGTTCTGTTTCATTTGATTCTCAAACCTAATGTATGTGAAGCTGGAATTAGTTTATTTGAAAGAGACAGCTGTAGAAAATCTCTAAGGATCAAAGAATTAGTTTGGTAACCAAATATATGAGTCTCTGAAAGGAAAATTTTCACACAAAACTCAGTTCTGCCATTTTGTCTTTGTGAATCATTTAACTAACTGAAAGACTATCCAATTTCCATTTAAAAAGTTGTGTTTTACTTGATTTTCATGTGGTACTATCATAGCTGTCATCTGTACTCACCCATTCAAGCCTATAAATGGCTGTTTAATAAGGTCTGTAGCCTGAAACTTGAAAGTTCATGCTGTTCTTTTGGAATTTATCCTGTTAATACAGTTGCATGTGGTATTAGTCAAAATACACTTCTGTGAATTCTGTTAAGGTAGTTAGTTGTTACAGTCCCTTCTGACCCAAAGCTTCACATATTAAGTGTATTTAGAAAAAGAAGAAAATATCATCTGTTTGATTTCCCCTCATCAGAATAGAAGCTGGTCTACCTCTGTTATTTCTGGGCTGTTTTGTACTGCAGATTTCAAATTCCTGTTTCACAGAGAGTGATCTGTGCAGCGTATATTTACTGTTTCTCTTTTCTGCATAGCTTAGATATACTCAATGTAACACTTTACAAAACTTATGCTAAGCATGATACTTCATTGTGTCAAGTATAACAGCAATAGACACCATAGCTGTGTCAGTTTTTGATATTCTTATTTACTGTTATTATTGTATAATTGTGCAGTTAAAAGAAGGATTTATAAATGTAAGATTTTTTTTCATATTTCTGCTTTATGTAATTCAATTTTTTTCTTCATCTTTAGGCTGTCCTGAGTCCTCTTATTGCAATTGCACTGAAAATATCTCAGATTCATGAGAGGACAGGACGAAAGGGACCCACTGTCATCACCTGAAGCCACGGAAGATTGTTAAACCAGGGCCAAAAGAGGAACAGCAAGGAAGAGACAGAACCTTGTTAAAACTTGTTAGCCATTTGTGCCTTGTATGATTTTAAAAGTTAGGTGGGAAGAAAAATTCAATATAACGTTAAGCGTAATCATTTGCATTGATCTCCAAATGCAATAGTGTATTGACTTGTTTTACCTGCAGTATCATAATTTCTGATAACAGTATAACCAAAGAAGGAGGCCTTAACATTCAAATGTTGTCAGTAATGTAGCCAAAAATGACAACTTCTTGGTGTTGAACGCTATGATAAAAGTTGGAGAAATTTCAGTAAGGGAGAGAGAGGGAGGAATTGCAAAGCAAAGACATGTTTGGTGAGTGTTGTTTGGGATTCTTGTCACGTTCTGGTAAGTTTCTGAAGAGGTGTGCGGAGCATGTCTGAGTCATAGGGCTGTGTACTGGGCTTTGCACAGGGTGTATTTCCTCCCCTGGCTCCATGCCTCCTCTCAGGCCTCTCCTGTTGCTCACAGATGCACACTGACAGCAGTGTTGTATACACACTTACACTTGCTCCCAAAGATGGGGTTATTCCATGCTTTTTTACCCCTGCTTTTAAAACATATCAATGTGACTTGTGCCTTTAGATTTTCCTTTTTTTTTTGACTCTTTGGTTATTTTCCTCCAGAAGGAGTCCTTTGTTCTATAAAGCTGATTTTGTCCTTCCAGCAATATGTCGGGTGTGGAATCTGACATTCCTCATGTCAGGAGATGATACTGGTGCTTACTGTGTTTGAAAGATAATCTCTGCAAGTTCAGCAATTGTTTAGGAGTTACGGAAGTTCTTCTAAGTCTTCTGAATATTCATGCTCCACTTGCCACAAAGCAAGTGAGTGAGAGGGAATTAAACCCTAATCAATTGAATAGAAATACTAGTCTCACTCACCCTCTGGACATGGTTTCTATTAGATTCTTGGTAACAGTGTATCCACTGTTGCAAGATGCAATAAAAATTTGGGGAGTACAAGAGATGTTCCCGGCATAGATCTGAGAAGGCTGTTGGGGATATGGACATCAGCATTTTTCTGCCTGTGAAATGATACAGTAGTTCTAGCTGCAATACTGTGCTCTGAAAAAGAACACAAACACTTTATGCATGTAATTTGCTTGAAAGCTTTGCTTCCTTGGAAATGGTATGATCACTTGTATCATTCGTCAAGGTGGCTTTGTGCAGCTTGCCTCTTTGCAGTGTATTTCAATTCATTGTGGTTGTCAAACTTCAGTACAACTTATATAATATTGCAGCAAAGGAAATTGTTTAAATTTCTTTGAACACTTCTGTCAGAAAATGGCTATAACACTTAGTATACAATAAAGAGTAATGCCGTATGTCTGTCTTAATACATAATTGTGGACAAGACACCCTGCACTTTCAAGCATCCTAATAAAGTCACCTTTATTACAATTACATTATTACTTAATTGGTTCTAAACAAATGAGGTATGTTCTCACTTAGTGTCCTACCTTGCCCTTAAATGTTCCCACAAACCAAAAGAGATTTTAAGACTTTAGCTCTTTTTACAAAGATTTTTCTTTTATATGATCATGACCAAGACGTTTTCACACAGTTTGGACATCTACTTTATAATGTAAGAGCACTCATCTTCACAAAAATCTTGTTTATATAATATTTTATAGTTATAGTTATAGTTATAGTTATAGTTATAGTTATAGTTATAGTTATAGTTATAGTTATAGTTATAGTTATAGTTATAGTTATAGTTATAGTTATTTATTAATTTATAATTTCATTTATATATTTTTTTAATTCAACTTCTCTAGGTGCAGGATAATAATCTCTTAAATGGTAGATCACACATGGTCAAGCATAGACACATTCTGGATTATGACAGTTCAAATTATTGGGTTGTGTGAGGGAACATTTTGTAAGTCAGTCCACTAAAATTTCTAAAATCTTGTACACATTCTCTGACAATGAAATTATTTTTGAACTAGCTGTTTATACTACAGAGTATCCCATTTGCCAAGTTTTTCTGAAATGAGAATACAGTTTGAAAAGTAAAATATATTGCAGCCATGTGTCTTTCAGGATGCAGGGGGAAGACTCAAGAACAGATGAAGACTGAAGAAACATACTTGTGCTTTTATCAGAAAGCTGTCACTAGAGCTGCAGTAGATGGCAGTCTACTTTCATGAAGGCAGTCATCATAAACCAAGGGGCATGTTTTAAAATCTCTGTATTGACTTTGTCCTGGGCTGGAGAAACATTAGTTGTGCCTGTGTATGTAAATGGAAAAAGGGCTGTTTCAGAAAAGGATTATTTGAGTCTGGTTTTGAATAGCTGTCAAACAGCAGACTTGCAGAAGTAGCCTACCCTGAAATCGCCATCCCTTTTTTTATGGTGATGGGTGATACTGATAAAATATTACTGGTATTTTCTCTGCAAGAAGATGAATAAAACTTTGTAAGGCTCAAGCACTTTAACTTTTTATATCTGAAGTATGTGGGAGAGGACTGTAGCCACATGGAGTGTGCTGCATTTCCTGAGGTCTTTTAATTATTAACATGATAGAGGAATGTGTGGAAAAAAGCAAGTTGTATGAACTTACAAAAACATGCAGAGCTCCTAAAACCAGACCATACATTTAGCAGAAGGAAAACTATTATTAATGCTGTTCATCTTATCACACTGTCTAGGCACTGTGACAGAGACCCACACCCTTTTGTGCTATTGTTTAATGAGCAGCTTCCTCGAGTCTGGAAGTTGCAAGATTCCTGTATTATTCAGCTGTGATTGCAGTAACATTTATTTGGATCATTCTGTTTCCTAAACCCTCATATTTTCTATGTGTTCAGACACAATTTGGAAGGTGATATACTACTTACCTGAACCAGAGGATCAGGGAATCCTCAAGGTTGGAAGGTGCCATCAGGACTAAAATCACCTATGTCCCAGCTCACAGCAGAGTCAGGTAGAGGAGGCTGCCCAGGGCCATGTGTAGTTGGCTTTAATTATCTCCAAGGACTGAGATGCCAGAACTTCTGTGGGCAACATGTACAAATGATTGACTGGTCCCATAGTAGGGAAAAAAAAAAAAAAAAAAGCCAAAACCAAAAACTGAATAGCAAAAGTTTCTGGAGTGTTCAGATGGAATTTCATGTCATCCAGTTTATGCCCATTGCCTCTTGTCCTGTCACTGAGAAGAGCCTAGGTCTGTACATTTATTTTTTTCCCACCAAGTACTTCTACAAATCAGTAAGATCCTTCAAGAGCCTTCTCCAGAGCAAACACTCCCAGCTCTCTCAGTGTATCATCATATGACAAAATTTCCAGTCCCTTTATGGTCCTTTGCTGGAAGTACTCTGGAATGTCCATGTCTGTTTTGTGCTTGGGAAACTCAGACCTGAACCCAGCACTCCAGATGTATCTTAACTCTATCAGTGCTGAGCAGAGGGAAAGGATCACCTTCTTCCAGCTGTTGCTGCTGCTGTTTTTCCTGATGCAGCTCAGGATGTCAGTTTCTGTCTTTGCTGTGCAGGTGAGTTGCTGGTGAGCTGACAACTTTTTGTTAAGCACATGACCCCTCGATTCTTCTCTGTGTAGCTGTTTTCCAGCCCACTGGCCCCAGCATGTACTGCTGTCTGGGTTGGTTCCTCCACAAGAGCAGGACTTCCCTTTGTTAGTGTTCAATTAGAAGGTCGTCAAGTTGGTTAAGCACAATTTACCTTTCATAAATCCTTCCTGATCCTAAATACTTTCTTGTCCTTGGCAAGGGTTTCCATCACTGGCTATTCCATCACCTCCCCAGGAACTAAAGTGAAGCTGACCAGCCTATAATTCCCCAGATCCTCCTCCTTTCAGGGACAGGAGTGATATTTGCTCTCTTATCTCAGGGACCACTTCTGGTCACCCACAGCCTTTCAGAGGCAATAGAGGGTAGCTTGCAATAGCATGATTTAGCTTCTTGAGCTCTGTGCATGTCATCCTAAATCATTCCATGGATGTGTGTGTGTCCCGTTTTTTCAAGTACTTGGTGGCCTTTTCTTGCTCTGTCCAAGGTAAGTCTTCCTCACTGCATATTTTTCCTGTAGTCTCAAAGGCCTAAAATTCCTGAAGACTGCTTTTGCCAGTAAAAATGGACACAAAGAAGGCATTGAACACCTCAGCCTTTTCTATGTCCTCTTCCAACTCACATGGCTGTAGAAACTTTCCCCATTACCCTTCACATTTCCCATCTGTTCTGGTTTCAGCCCATACAGAGTTATTTTTGCATTTGCTGGGATGGAGGTATGGGAAGGTCAAGGAGGCTGGAGCCATATGGATGTACACAGGTGATTTATTCTACACTAGTCATGTCATCGCTGTAGGGCATGGCTTTGGGTAGAAGAAAAGGCAGAGTGGAAGGACAGACATTTTTGTTCCCTCTTTTCCTGTGAAAGCAAAGTGCTGAGCAGAGTGGTGCAGTCTGGGTGAAGCTATGCAGACTGGCTTGGGAGATTTGTCCATCATTGTTTTCCACTGTCTCAGACGTGGGACAAGAACCCCGCACTGGCTGTGGTAACGCCCACTCTTTTCTCTTTTGTCTGTGGAAAAGCCATGTTGCCACCAGGGATGCAGTAACACCTGCTATTTTTCTCCTTTGTCTCAGGAAAAGCTGCATGTCATGGGCCATGGTTACAACAGGATAGATGGACTTCCATAAGCATTTTTGGGGTGTAATCATCCTCGTTTATATATTGTTCTTATTAGTACTTATTGTTGCTGTTACTGTTTGTTTTCCTTATCTTATTATTTTTCCAGTAAATTGTTGTCTCAACCCATAATCTCCCTTTTTGTCCCTTTCTCAATGGAGGGGGTCAGGGGAAGGGAAGTGGCTGTTTGGAGCCTAATTTCCAGCTGATCTTAACCACAGCATCACCTCATTCAGCTCCAGGTGGGCTTTGGCTTTTCTCATCCCTTCATGATTGTACAGTGCTCTGCATTCCTCCTAATTCAGCTGTCCCTACTTTCACTTACCATACATTTCCTGTTTATATCTGAGCTTAGTCAGGAGCTCTCTGTAGGCCATTCATGTAGGCCTTTTGCTCCCTTTGTTTGATCTCAGATTGAACAATTCCTGAGCTTAAAGGAGGCGATCTTTGAAAATTAAACAGTTGTCCTGGACTCATCTTTTCTCCAGGGCCAGAACCCATGTGATTCTTCCAAGCAACTCTAAAAATGTTAAAGTCTGCTCTGTAAACTTAAGTTCCACTCTTTGGTATTCTCCCTCCTCTCAAATTTCTGAATTCTCCATCTCATGATGTCTCATGATCCCTGCAGCAAAAAACATGCCCACACATTTCTTCTGGTGTTGTGAGTGCCAAGATTGGCTTCTTGGTCACCAGTGTCAGGAAGTTGTTTCTCAATGCACTGAATCTGTTGTGTTCTGAAGCTTTAGTTTGACCAGTTCATATCCTTCAGCCCAAAGAGAATTTATTTTAATGTGAAATTTCCAGCTGCTACTCTTGGCAAAGATAAATTCACACTATTAAATACAATCAAAATCAAAGTGTTTAAAGCCTTCTGCTGCCTTAAGATTGTTGACATTTTTTGAGCTCTTTGCCCATGGCATTTTGCATTGAGTTCATAATCATCAGCTGAAAAGAGAAACTTAAAACCAGATTGTATCAAAATATTAGGTATTAATGTGAATGTTCTCCCTGTGTCAGTAATATTTTGTGTCAAATACTTTATTGCATACTGCAGGTTGAAGATGCATTTATCCTCAGTTTCACATTTCTAGATCCATTATGACCTCACAACATCTGAAAGCGGCTGGCACTAAAAAGGGGCACTGCAGGACTCTTGTGGAACTGGGAGAAAGGAAAGAAATTCCTGGCTGTTCATAAATACATATGGACATGCTCTGAATGTGTTTCCAAGAGCAAACCACTCCAAGAGCAAACTTCAGTGATACTCCTGCAATTCTTGCTCTTAGTATGACTCAGAACTGTAGTCCCAGCCATTTTCCGCTCTCTCAGTCTTGCTTTAATACCACCTAGTGTAAAACCTAGATTTCCATGGGGGTGGGGGGAAGATAAACATGCAGAGGACAAGGATTTTGCTGTGGAATGTCTCCTGGTTAGTCAGTCTTACCTGCTGTGATTGATGCCTGCACTAATACTTGCACGATGCTGGCTGCCTTCAGAATGTGGGACTCTGGAGTAAAGAAGCTGGAGATTTTGCAGGATGGATGTGGTAATGCTAGGAGGTAAAGCCGTAATAAGGTCACTCAAGCAGATCCTCTCTTTAACTGTTTTGGAAATTATGTGTTGTGTTCCTCTGATTTTTATTGTTCTCTGTGGTGTCCTGCTTCTCAGTCACTTTGAAAGATATATCTTCTGTCTCTTTCAGGGACTCTTTTTTGTTCCCTCTGGGTACTTTTCTACATTTCTCATCCCAAACTTCCTGAAAAAATCCAAAAATCCTGAAAGGATTTTTCACCTCTGTAGCTTGTCCGACCCTTTTTATTCTTCTTTCCTTTCTACTTACAACAACGGAAGAACTGTGTGTTCTTTCCATAAAGGATGAAATTCTTTGAAAGACAAAACTGATGCAGCTGTCAGTTTGCTGGCCTTAGCCATGGCTACCACACATGTACAGCTGTAATGCTTAACTTGTAGTCTTACAGTATGTGAACATCTGGAAAGTGTGATAGCTTTTCTGTCTCACTGGTCTGTATCAAAACCAGGAACAGGCTGCCCAGAGAGGTGATTCATGTCCCATTCCTGGAAAAATTCAAGGTCAGGTTGGACAGTGCTCTGACCAACCTGATCTAATTCAAGATGTACCTGCTCGTTGCAGGGGCTTGGACTAAATGATCTTCTCCAATACAAACCTTCCAACCCAGAAAGAAAAATTCCATCCAAAATAAATACTACAAGTTCAAATCTGAGTGAACCCTCATGAAATTTTTCTTGCCATCTGGAATTACAGATGACAGTGGCCTGAATGCAAATTTGCCTCAGTGATTTTGTGGGAGGAAAGATCCATGTAACAGAAGAAGGATGAGTCCAAACCTGTCCTTTTTCTGGTGTTTGTTGTGTAATTATGAAGCCACTTGTGTCAGAAACAGGATACAGGGTCCCTTTTTCAGTTCCCACAGTCTTGAGTAAGCTGTGACAGAAGCAACTGCTCTTAGAATCAGAGATGGTTTTTCCTCCTGTAATTGATAGTTCCCTCTGAGGAGATGTAAGCATAACCAAAGCTCTCTGTTTGGCACCTGGGTGGTGTATTTTATTGTGCCCTTATCCTGAATCATAGGCACCTTGTATCATATAAACAAATTCAAGGCATTTGTTTTAAATACAAAATTTATTAATGAATTCACTAGTAAAATAGCAGTTCTTTTCACCCCCCACATAAAAAAAAATAACTTGAAAGGCATACAATACAAAAATAATCAGTTGCAACAAATAATCTGCAAATCTCAAACAAAAGCTAAGTTAATAGGTTTCCCAAGTCAGTTAATGTCTCAAAACCAAAAATGAGAGCTTTCTTCTGAAACTCCTTATGAAGCAAAAGTCAAGACTGAAAACACCATGCTGCTTCATTTATCTTGCAGTGTAAGAAACTTCTATTGCCAGAGATGGTGACTTCTATTAGACACAGCTTGAGCATTTCTATCTCTCTGGAGATTTATTCTAATTTGAAATACTGAGCACTTTTACATATCCCCTCCAACTCCCCTCTAAGTCACAAATGATGAATGTTTTTTCTGTGCAATTTCACCTTAAGTAGTGTTACTATTAGATCACTGACACAAGTCTTCTTCCAGTTTTCCCTGCTTCACAAACGCAGGATTTTACTGGCTGCCAGTCTCTCATGTTTTGACAGGTGTTGCTCTTCCTGAGGTCATCTGGAAATCTGTATCCTGTTGGCAATTGATTTCTTGCATGAATATATGAGAATTTAACCCCCTTCCGGGGTTTGGGTCTTGGCCAGCTGTTTGCTGTTGCTCCTGAGATAATGTGTATGGTGGTGGCTGTTCCTGCTCATTTGTTTCACTGACAAACTCTACACTGCTTTCACTGTATGGAGGCGGAGGAATATTGATGAATTCTTCCTGTTTTAATATGGAGGCAACTGACAGTGCGGAGACCAGTTTTTCAGGATCTATGCTGTCTTCATAAGAGGGAGGATAGAAGTCAGGCCTAAAATAAGCATGCCAAAAAGAAACACATTATGGTGAAGTGTGATTTATCTCACAGAGCTTGGTTAGATGCTTTGTCTGTTATGTTTCCAAAATTTAGATGAGGCTTTAACAGTAAACAGATATCTAACTGTGTTTAAAGAATGAAATACATTAATGTAAAATGTAGGCATAACTGGTATAATTTGCCTCGCCTTGCACAAAATGTTTTATTAAAACACAGCACTCTAAAAAGACAAGCCTTCCCCGTGAAAATTCCCAACCATGGCATACAAACACACATGCTTGTGAGTATTTTAACAAGTGAGAGAAAAGTTTAATTTGGAAGAAGAATGAAATCAGTCTTCAAAGTTATTTATTATTGCAATAACCATTGTTTTCCACAGTTTAAAAATAAATTTGGTACGTTTCTGCTTATCTAACCAAAATTTACTGCATGTTTCTTTTATAGTGCCTTTAGAACACCCATTCTCAGTGTTTCTAGTACGGTTTCCACAACAGTCCAGGGAAAGAAATTTGTATCCAGTGACATGTTAAAGAGTTTTGCCAGGTCTAGTGCAGTTTAAGAAACTGTCTCTCTCAAAGCATCAAACTTTATTAAGAACAAAGTTGTAGGGTCACAGAATGTTTTGGGAAGGGACCTTAATGATCATTCAGTTTCTGCCATGGGCAGGGCCACCTTCCACTAGACCAGATTGTTCATCCAGCCTTGCCTTGAGTGCTTCCAGGGATGGGGCAGCCACAGCTTCTCTGGGCAACCTGCTCCAGTGCCTCACTACCCTCACAGTAAATCATTTTTCCCCGATATCTAATATAAACATATCCTTTCTCCATTTGAAACCATTCCCCCTTGTACTGTCACTACACGTTCTTTTTGGAAGTCCCTGTCCATCTTTCCTGTAAGTTCCCTTCATGTACATAAGGTGCTGTAGACTCACTGGAACCTTGTTGGGGCTGAATAATTCCAGATATCTCAGCCTGTCATCACAGGAGAAATGTTCCATTCCCCTGATCATCTTCATGGATGGCTCTCTGGACCCATTCTAGCAGGTCCATGCCCTTTCTGTGCCAAGGATGTCAGATCTGGATGAGATGCTCCAGGTGGGGACTCACAAAGACACAGCCAAGGAGGAGAATCCCCTCCCTCGACCTGTTGGTCACACTTCTTTGGATGCAGCTCAGGACACATTTGGCTTTCTGGGCTGCAGGTGCACATTGCTGGGTCACAGTGACCTACTTCATCAACAAAACCCCCCCAGGTTCTTCTCCCAGGACTGCTCTCAAACCATTCTCTGCCCAGCTTGTGTTTGTGCTTCAATTTGCACCAACCCAGATGCAGAACCTTGCGCTTAGCCTGAAGGTTCTTAGCCTTAGGTTGAATTTCCTGAGGTTTTTAAATCAGGGGGACAATCAAACAATGAAACTTAAGCAGGAGCCATATAGTGAATAAGCGGAGGCCCCCTGCATATCTCAGCTTCTCTCTACATGAGCACCCATCCCCCAGCAGCATCCTAAATGGTCTGCTGAGATGGAACTCAGTATGCTCCTGCGTGAATTCGGAATAGCTGCACCTGCTGCCTCCATGCATGACTTTGGAAGCTTTAGGAAGTCTGAAACCTTCTTTGTTTCAGGTAGTATACCTTACCTTAGGTATTGTTTTCATGAATGGCTGTTTGCACATTGCTGCTTGCTCTAGCAAATAAAATTTCCGACTACAGTTCTCTCCGCAGAAAAATAATAAAATGGCTACAGGATTTGCATTTTATAAAAACCTTGTATTGCTTCTTTCTTTTCACAAACACTGTATGTTTAAAAAATAGCATCCCTCCCTCCCAATTCATCTGAAACACATACCTGTCTATGGTGCAGACATGTGGTTCTCTGTGGCTGGGATTTCGAATGAAGATGCCAAGGGCCCTATATTTCAGGACTTCATGGAAAGTGCTCCAGAAAATGCCAGTAACTAGGAGACAGAGCCCCAAAGCTAACAGGCAATAAAACACTAGCTTGTTGTTCCCACATCTGCACATGGAGGAATTCATGGACATGCAAAGTACTCCCAGGCAAATAGTGGAGAAACTGAGTAAGAGCATAAAAAGACGAATGAAAGTAAGAAGACCTTTAGGCATCCTCCACAGAAGACACAGTGCTTTGTCCCTGTCTGCTGTTTGTTTGCTGGCTCTCTCTGCTGTACTTCTCATATACATGTATGGGTACTTTATATGCTACAACCGCCCTGTAGACAATTAAGAGAAGCAGGCAGTTTTAACCTACTCATTAACTCTTTGAAGATGTATAAACTCTTTTGAGATTAATTTGTAACCTCTACCTACTTTAGGAAGGAAGCAGAAACTTCCTGAACCATCCCTTTGCCGCTGTAATCTCTGGAGTGTAAACTTGGACTGCTCCCTTCATTGCATGATTTGCAGTGGTTTATACACTTCACTGCTTATGAATGAGACCTGTATTTGTTAAATTTGACTTACTTGACTTTAAAAGAAGAACAACCAACAACCAGCAAAGATGGTCTTCATAAATCCCCATTAAAGTTTGGAGGGAAAATATGCTTCATATAAATGTAGACATTGACATGGGAGGGGAAGGAGCATCGGTAAAAACTGCTGTTCTCTGAGGGGGGATGTCATCTCACCTTTTCTCTCTGACTTGCCAAGATAAGGTATAAAGAATATTAGTGTCTGACAGGTGTCAATCTAGGTTCAACAAAGGATTTACTTCTCTAAGCATTAAGTGTTGCCATGCAGTCCTGAGAGCCTAGGAAGCTGCCATGAAGGACTTGCATGACCTATGCAGTTCATAAAGGAGTGTAGCACCTCAGACTGAGACACAGGCCAGCCTTGAGAGGCGTCTGTGAGCTCCTAGAAGAAGCAGCAGAAGGGAATACATCTCTTACTGAGCAGGTTTCCTAGACATGGAGTTACCCCAAACATATGCCGGGGTCTGAAGAGCACACTCAGCTTTCTCTCCATCTGCCTAACTTGCATAGCTATTATTGGATGGGTATTACAACAGCCAGTTCACGCCTTCCTGTACTGGCTTGTAAGTTTCAAGTTGCAAAAACAGCAAAAAATTCAACTGCAAAACCAACTGGTGACACAACAAATAGATTACTTCCCTTAAAAGACCTGCTTCAGTGGAAAAGACATAAAGTGGAGCAGATTCCCACTAATGTGAGTTGCCACTCAGTTTGTGGGCAGGTGCATGTTTCTAAGGGACAAGGTGGAGTGTTGGGAAAACAGTTATTTTAGACACTGGCTTTGCCAAATTCAGGTCTTTAAAAGAGGTGGCCCAGTTGTGACAGAGGAAACTGGAATCCAGGAGGGTAAAGCCATGTGTTGGGGGTAGGAGTTCATGCAGGGAAGGTGTGAGTGGAGCTGAGAACGTGAGAGGCAGGTGAAGCACAGTGAAATGGTGGTCAGTGCTGCTGGATGTCTACCCAACAGCAACAGCTGCCCTTCCAGAAATGTAACTGCAAAAGTGTACTGTGACATAAACACATTAAAATAAGCTGTTTCAAAAGGCAAGTAATTTACATCTGTCTTGCATAATATCTTGCATAATATGAAGTCGACCAGTTCATCTTCTTTCTGCTGCAGAACTGTTCACGAGGACTCCTTTGCTTCATGCTCTGTTGTTTCAAATATTAATGAATGCTCTCCCTTCAATTTGTTTTCCCACAGGTTAACAGATCCAGCTGAATTTACAATAATCTTTTTTCTGTATAATTTCTACTTTCTGCATATCTGTTAAACATACTTCATTTTGCAAAATACTTTTTATTACTTCTGGGTTTTTTGATGTTTCAGATCTTAACTCATCTAAATAGAAATATTGAGTTATTCATGACTGCTATCTAAAGTTCAGTTAATTACTGTAATTCACATCTTCTGTAATGCTACTCCTTCTGCTACAAGATGGTATTTATGAAAGGACGATGTCAATAAAAATAATTTTTACTTCTTGTTTTCTGTATAGACATATACTCACTTGCCTGTTTGGTCATTGAAATTTATACCTGGAAGGTTATAGCCTCATATCTGTGGTGATAAAGGATTAGTTAAATGTTACAGGAAAACATGGACAGGAAATTGTATTCTCTCTTGGAGATTTGCAGGGTTTTTTGCAGGCTGCAGAAGTTTGGTGTTTTCTCCAAGAGGTCAGTTTCATCTGTGGAAACAGACTATGGGTCTATTATCCTTGAAAACAGCATCTGTACCTCAGCCAGTGGGTATATGAAGGGAAAGGTAAAAAAAAAAAAAAAAAAAAGGTGACAATAGCACCATAATGCTGCTTAATTATCAGGGTTCTATTATTTTTCTTATTTTCCATCACTTCAGATTTTCTGTAATGTTATTCTTGGCCTTTTCCAATTTCCCTAACATTTTGCAGCTTGATTGTTTTATTGGCAGTGAGTGTCTTGGACTGCATCACACTGGATGAGCAGATTTCCTATTTCTCTTACAAAACAGGAAGAAAGTTGCTTCTAATGAGATCAGGTGGGAAAAGGGAATAACTAACATGGTGTAAAGGTTACTGAACAGCATTGGCTGCAGACCAAGGTCAAAAGGTAGCAGTCCAGATGGAGAAAAAGCAATTCTTAGGAAGTCTGATTGAAGATGAACTTAATGGGTGTTCCACTGGATGATTTGACGATTGTGATTGTTTGGCAATTTGCTTTTCACTTTGAAAGGTCACTGCTTATCCTGTATCCTGTTGAAACATGTAGGGCTTCAACAAACCAGTTTCTGGAATTATGCTGCTTGCTGCTCAAAAAGAAATTTGTGGTATCTTACACATTTTTATGAGAGTTGTGAAACAAAAACTTATTTTTTAACTACTAGCAAAATGGAAAATTTGACAGTCAGAAAATTAAAAAATAGACTTTTTAATGCAAATAGTTGTGGTGTGTTAGTACCAGCTGCATATCATATCACAGTACATGCATGATATAAGATGCATGTCAGATTTGAGGTCACATTTGCTACTAAAAAGTGATATTTTACCAGAAATTTGAAACTTATATGTTTTACTCTGGTCTGAAATGAATTATTTTTTAATAAAATTAAAACTAACTTTACACCAGTTTTGACTTTTCTTCTGTAACTTTCTAGCAGCCTTAGCTGACATGATTTATTGTAATAACTCGCTTAAACAGTTTTTTATGTTTTTGTCAATAATTCAGAGCAGATTTGCTAATGAGTTTCTCTAGCAATTCCAGTATTCCTTAGAAAGATATAACTGAGTTAATTTTTTAAAATCTCTTCAAGTGTAGCCTCTTCTCCATATCATACCTGAACTAGTGACAGTTCTGAAAGCATGGAAAAGTTTAAGAATGACTGACAGTCAATGCAGTCTGAACATCAAAATCATATTTCACAGATCAGTTTCCAGCCTGAGGATGTGAGGATGTCTAAGCAAAACAAGGTGCATGAACATAGCCAGGGCTGTTCTTCGTGTCTGAAGGTATTGAGATTTTAGGAGGTGTGGCTCCTGTTTGAGAATGAATGATTGACTTTCATGAAGGAAACTGGGTATAAGTCATTCTACAAATACTTGAAAAGAGCAGAAATTAACTAATTGGGTTGAAAATAGTGCACTGCAGGATTTTTGTAGAGAGGTTTCCCCAAATGGTAGAGAACAGTTTATTCTAGAAACACATAACAGAAAACAGCAATAAATACTTAAAATAAGCAGAATTGAGATAGTAAATTTTCAAATCACTGCATAAAATTTTTATGTTTAACAGACAATATTGTAACAAATATTTAAACTTTATTTTTGGTGAATCAGATATTCTTTTTTTTCCCGAGGTATTCTTTCCAAATTTTATTGTTTTATTTATTTACTAAAAGAATGACACACAGTAAGTTTGATAAAAATTGCGATAACTAACAAAAATTCAAAGTTTAATAGTTTAAATCTTTAACATTTTAAATAGTTTAAAGTGATTATGTGAACTGGCTAGTCAGAAAAAATTACACATAAATGGGACAGTTCCCTTATGAATATGGAATTATCTGTGGTCTATCAGGCTATTTATTGATATATCTATCTGAATTGTATATTTTTGTAAAACTTTGAAATGAACATGATGGATTATCAAGACATCTGAGGCCTTTCCTTTTGGTTTATATATGTCAAAACCAGAATGTTCCTGTGTCAGGAAAAAAAAATATAGTAGCCAGTGTTCTTCTTTTTCTCTTAGCAAGAAGATATAGTGGAAGGCTCTGGCAATGAAAATGCAGGCATGCTTATTTGTCTCATGTTCACGTATTTTAAAATACCATGTCTTGCCTGATATCCAGGAGCTTGGAAAAGCTATGAATTGCATATGAACATCTATTGAATCAGACATTATGCTTCTTTCTGTGGAATTAAGAGCTAAGCAAATTATCATGTGTACAGTGAAACAGAATGCTTTTAAAATAAAAAGAAAACCCAAACCAAACAAGAATAACCAAGCCCACAAAACAGAAGGCTCTGGTGTCTGTTTACCTGAGCATAAGGATCAGAGCTGTGGGTAAACAGAGTGACAGCCTGGCTGAGCAGTGTGGATTAGAGGCTGTGCAGGGCCATCCCCTCCCTTCTGCTCTGTTCCAACTGTGTGTGGTGCCTCCAGCACAGTTGTATCTGCACAATTTCTGAGTAGGAAACAATTTTACAGCACTGCTTAGCAAATATGGATAACTTTGACGCCAAAGAATGAGCATCTTTTGTACATGAGACAAGGTCCCTTTTGTTCATGCATCAGTGCTGTAGATGATGTGCCAGCAGAAATGTTCATTTTACAGAAAGATTGGTATTCCACCATTTGATGTGTGAGGATTTTGACAGAATTCCAATCATAAATTGGTAAAATATTACCAGTTAAATAATAGTGCTATTATAGGTAATTAGCTGATTATATGGTTTAATGGCAGTGTAAAATGTCTGGGGGGAAGTTTTACTTAGGGAGAAAGTGAACAAGTATTATTTTCCATTCAAAATTTAAGTACCACTCTTCTTTTTAACTTTAACTCCTCCTACATACTTCTTTTCTGCAGAAGATGGTTGTCCTAAGGATTTTTAAATTGAGGTCTAGGAGTAAAATATGGTTTTGTATAAGGAGTCCAAGTAAGACATATAGCCTGTATAGATACCTCCAAGTAGGGCTCAGACAAGCATGAGAACATGGGGTACTGCCCATATGAACAGTACTGTTCTCCTCTAGGAAAGACAAGGACTGCCTTGAGCACTTCTTTAATATGTCTTTAGTTTTGTATGGGAGGCACTGAAGCACAGTGCTGTTGGCACTGATGCCTTTTTGCCTTCGACAGCAGGGGCAAAGTCAGGCATTCTGTCTTGGCTTGAGGATTTCAACAGCTTTATCAAGAGCAGATCAAAAGTGAACCCTGAAGGAGCTGCTGGTAGCTCTTGATCTAACAAAGCCCAAAAAGCTTAGATCAAGCAGTTTGGCTGTGCTGGACTGTTTAATATTAAAACAAGCATTCCTAGTGGCTTTCAAGTACAGTTAAATATTGTAACACAATAAGATTGAACCTCCTGAAACTCTTCTTATTTGACGTCATTCCAGTAGGCTGGCTGAACAATACAATCAAATATTGTACATCAGTAGAGCTTAATTAGCATATGTGTAACTTAAGAATTTTAAGTGGAATAAATGCAAAAGTCCAGCTCTAGGTTACAGAAATCCTTTGAGTTTTACACAAAATTGACAAATTATCTCATATAGTGAGATCTTAAAATATCTTTCAAAATTATTTTCAGAGTGAATCTGGCATTAGAAATTACAGTTATCTGTATTTGTTCCCATAAATGCAGTGCATGCTTTGATATGTAATTTTACTTGTGGAGGTCTCCTCATTTCTGATTTGAACCAAATGAGTGAATCAATACTCAGGTAAATGTCAACAGTCAAGCAGGCAGGTTTGTAAAGAGGCAGGTTTTCAGCACTTACAGCACATCTGGTTTGCCAAAGAAAATGAAGAAGGTGTGTATCACAAGAAAATACAAAACAATTTAAAAAGAGAGAATGAAGAACATTTGCCTAAGGAGCAATTAACACAAATATGAATTGTCTGGGAAAGCATATGGACAAGAACTACAGCCTGTGGCATGTGTGAAGCTTGCATTGTGCAAAGTCTGCACACTTCTGTGCAAATGAACAGGCCTGATTGATGGAGAACTGGTCAGGCAAACACACACACACGCACCAAAAAAAAAAAAAAAAAACCAAAAAAGCCCCTCCAAAAACAAACAAGCAAAAACCCCCACAAAACTCCCCCCCCCAAAAAAGGCAAGCAAACTGATAAAAGCCAGAATAATAAGAAGTGTCTTAGGAGGTGGGTGTTTGAGATGAAGGTCTGCATTTTGACAAGTGGACCCAGAAATATCGGCAGACTCCCAGGCCTCTTTAACTTTCAGTTAATAAACCAGACTGCTGATACTGGCAGGAAATACCTACACAACACTGCTCATTAATGCATGGAGCAGAGAGACCTACAATTAGTTTGCTGCCCTACAGCAGCAAATTGCGTGCAGGAGGCTGATATCTCCCTGATGATTCAAGGAGGAATGCCTCCAGCCACTATGGGATGTGAATGCATGAGCCACAGGTATGTGCAGAGGCTGGCAGTCCCATTGCAAAAGCTGACTAATGCCATGCTTCTGGGAATCCTTTCCATTCTCTTTGCAGGCTGCTACAGAACACTATACTGGCACTGCTTCTCACTATTTGGAGATCCCCCACTATACATGATACAGGAACATCTTCAGCCCCCCACAAGACATGTGCAAACTCTGTCTCCTTTGTAGATCACCAGATTTCCTCTTAGAGAAGACAAAAGGGCACTTCCCACCTAAGAAGAGCCATCTTTTAGGGTGGTCACAAAGGTTCTGCAGGAAATAGGGGTCACTATTGAAGACTTTCCATGGGTGTGGAGTGACAGAGCAGACCCTGTTTGTGGCCAAAGAGATGGTGCAGGCTGATGTATGCATACATAAAATACAGCCTGGTCTGCAACATCATGGAGGTCCAAATGAATCAATGAGGCCTTATCAGAGTCTACAGCTTCCTCAGAGGAGGAAGAGGAGGGGCAGACACAGGTCTCTCCATTCTGGTCACCAGGAACAGGACCTGGCAATTGCAATTGAAGCTGTGTGAGGGGAGGTTTAGGCTGGATATCAGGGAAAGGTCCTTCACCCAGAGGGTGGCTGGGCCCTGTAACAGCTCCCTAGCGAAGTGGTCACACACCAGCCTGACAGAGTTCAAGAAGCATTTGGACAATGCTCTCAGGCACATGGTGTGATTCTTGGGGTGTCCTGTGAGGCCAGGATTTGGACTTTGATGATACCTCTGGGTCCCTTCCACCACAAGGAGTATTCTGTCCTATAAACAGCAGTTGCTGTCAGTTTGGTCTTGGTGAGTTCCTAGAGCTTCTGATCCAGTACCCCACTGGTTACCCCTTGATGGTTTTATATTCACAGGTGAAAAAAGGTAGCAAAATCCCCCATAATTCTTTGGGGTATAAAATTTAAGGAAGTTTTAAACAGTGTGGCTGATGAGGCTCATACTAGAAACACCAAGTAGAACCACAGTTGGTAGAACTATGCAGTAGGCAGAATCAGTGTTAGGGAGATCATAGGGTATAACAATAGACTTTTGTTTTTGACAAATCTTTAATGATCAGGTGGATAACATGATGACCCTCAAAAAGAATCTAAGAAAGTCACTGCTTTTGATTGGTGGATTTTTGATTATTTGATTATAGGACAAGGAATAATGGTTTTAAACTAAGGGAGGGTAAATTTAGATTAGACATAAGAAAGAAGATTTTTACCATGAGGGTAGTAAAACATTGAAACAAGTGAGAGGTGGTAGATGCTCCATTCCTGGAAATTTTCTAGGTCAGTTTGGATGGGGACAATATATTGGAAGATGGCCCTAC